TTTTTTAAAACATTTTATTTATTTATTTATTTATTCATTCATTCATTCATTCATTCATTCATTCATTCATTCATTCATGAGAGACCTAGAGAGAGACAGAGACATAGGCAGAGGGAGAAGCAGGCTTCCTGGAGGGAGCCCAAGGCAGGACTTAACTCTGGGACCACACCCTGAGCTGAAGGCAGGGCATTGCATGCTCAACGACTGAGCCACCCAGGCGTCCCTAACTTCTATTTTCTAATTTGATCATTTGTAGAATGAAGATAATAAGAGTACTCATGTCAAGGTTATTGTGAAGAGTCAAGAAGTTAGAAAACATAAGTGTGTAACCCAGAGCTTGACACATTTTAAAGGTTCAACTAATATAACTATTGTTAATCTGTATTGATTCTTTTTAAAAAATATTTTATGTATTTATTCATGAGAGAAAAAGAGAGACAGGCTCCCTGCAAGGAGCCTGATACAGGACTTGATCCCAGGACCCCAGGATCACTACCTGAGCCAAAGACAGATGCTCAACCACTGAGCCACCCAGGTTCCCCAATCTGTACCGATTCTTGAGCATTTGTTATTAATCTGTTTGAGCTATTTACTTGTGGTCTTTCACACTGGAAGATGGCTACTAAAGGTGAATGCCCCTGTCAAAATATGACTCAAATTTAGCTGCCACTCCACACTATATTGAGCACCTGCTATGTGTCAGGGACAATACTAGGTCCTGAAAAAAGGAAGATAAGATCCATGTCTCCATAGTTCAAGTTCTCATAGAAGAGGCAGGAACAAATGTATTAGTATAATTAAGGATTAATTAAAGACTCTAAATCTAAAAGACTTGTGAATTGGGGACTTTTCAAGACTTCATCACCAAATGCCATTCGTATTTGGCATACTCCTTGTTATGGGGAGAAGTTTGATACGTCTATGCCTTGGAGAAAATTTGAGAATCAGTTTAGAAGTTTAGAAATGAAAAGATCTGTTTTAATTGCTAATGAAGCCTATAATTTATACTAAGAAGACAAAGCACAGGGGAAAGCAGTAAACTGAAATGAAGACAGGCTTTGGATCTCAGCTTAAATGTCACTTCCTTAGAGAGGCTCCTCCACATATCCTTGTTCTCTTCCTTTTCTTCATAGCACTTATCATAATTAATGCTTATGTGTGGGATTTTTTCATATTTTTCTTCCCAACTAGTCTATAAGCACCATGAGGGCAAGAAACACATCTGGTTTACTCACCCCTATAAATACAGCATCTGGTAATCCCTGGTATATAACAGGTGCATCTGGTAATCCCTGGTATATAACAGGTGCTTAATACATTTTTGTAAGTGAATGTTAAGTGAGTGTTTAGAACCATTAGCATCCTGGTGGGTTATTGAAGACACAAAGAAAACTTGAGATCAGGGTGTGTGGCTGGCTCAGTCGGTGGATCATGCAACTCTTCATCTTGAGGTTGTGAATTTGAGTCCCATGTTGAGTGTAGAGATTACTTAAAAATTAAATCTTAAAGTGTTGACAAGGCTTTGATGGTTCATACAGGGAAATTCCTTTGAAGGACAATGCTGTAGAACTTCCTCCACTTGACACACAAAATCCAGGAGTGATGATGAGGAAATAGAGCGTAATCAGCCTTGTGTTTTGAATACTGTAAAGAATACTGGTGATCATACATCTAGCATCCATTGTCCTCTTGGTCCTTACAGGACTCCAGTTTTACTCAAGTAGCCATACCTTCACCTTGCAACTTATGTGACTCAAGGAGCACCCGCTCCATTGTCTATTGCAATTATGGTAACCTCTTTTTCCTCCTGGAATCCAAGCTAAGTCTTCTTCACATTTGCTAGGCAGTTACTGATTGGGAGACAGAATATGTGCCCGTGTGACCTAATTGGTTCAAAAAAAAAAAAAAAAAGCCCAAAGGAAAGATTTTAGATGAAAAAGAAAGTATGTGGTCCTGATTGTTCCTGGTAGACATCTGGAAACTCACTTTATTTTTTTCTAAAGATTTTATTTATTTGAGAGAGAGACAGAGATAATGAGAGAGAGCAGGAGCAGGAAGGAGAGGGAGAAGCAGGCTCCCCGCTGAGCAGGGAGCCTGATGTGGGGCTCCATCCCAGGACCCCGGGATCATGACCTGAGGTGAAGGCAGATGATTAACCAACTAAACCACCCACACACTCTAAAAAATCACTTTAGTGTTGAACCTCCCATGTTTACAGGACAGCAGAGAGACTAATAGCAACTGGGTCCTCAATAACTTGTTGAACCATTGTGTTCACCAACCTTAACGTCTGTTTTGCTTGTGGACTTTCTGTTATGTGAGATAAACTTCCTTATTGCTTAAGAAGACCGTTTGAATCAGGTTTTCTATTATCTGCAGCCAAATGATCCTGACTGACCCGTGTTATTTGACCTCCTGGCTCAATTAGGGCAGCTACAGTTAGAAGAGTGGGCAAGTTATACTATTGTCTTGGAAAAGGCAAGCAGCTGGACTCTGTGTTTCGAAGATTGAAAATGAAAATCTGGGGCAGCTGGGATGGCTCAGAGGTTTATCACCACCTTTAGCCCAGGGTGTGATCCTGGAGTCTTCAGATCGAGTCCCACGTCAGGCTTCCTGCGTGGTGCCTGCTTCTCCCTCTGCCTGTGTCTCTGCCTCTCTCTCTCTGTGTCTCTCATGAATAAATAACTAAAAAAAAATCTTTAAAAAAAAGTGAAAATCTATTTAACTACTAACCACTGCTAGTGTGAAGAGCCGGGTAAGGAAAGAATTGGGGGCAGAGTTGAGAACATGTTTGCATGGGGCAGACACAGAGATCAAACTCACAGTGCCCCTCACTGGAGGAAGGCCTGGAAGAAGGCCGAATATAGGTCGGAAAATATTGTACTCTAAAAGCTAGAACCCTGAGACTTCTTGTGAGACACATCATGATTGATGCCCTGAAGGGATCTGCTCCGCCACAGACCTGGAAAATACAGGTCACCAAACAGCGACACCATGTGGCTGCAAGATGCAACGACGATAGTGGGCTGATAGTCCAGGCCTTCCCTTTAAGTGTGAGCGAAGTTATACGTTCTGCTAGAAATTTTTGGATCACTTAACCCTCTACGAGTTTTTGAGAATGATGGGCAGGGACCCTATTTGTAGGTCCTGAATTTATTAAGCTTAGAAATAAATATTGAGGTGATTTCTTTTAGTGGGGAAAAAAAGCAGTGATCGTATTTGTACAAGGTAGAGCTGTTTTTATAGTTTTTATTTATTTTTATTTTTTATTTATTATTATAGTTTTTATCTATATTTTCAAGATGCATGAAAATTAGGCTTGAAGACACCCAAATAGAAAAACCTTTCTATTTTATTGCCTCGTTTGAAAACTTGTCTATGGTTTCCCAACACCCCCTGGATAAAGTCCCAGCTGCTTAGCACATACCTAAGGCCTTCCTAGTCTGCCTTTCTAGGGATGCAACATATTACTCAGTTTCATCAGGATGCCTACAGCAAAAACCCTTTATATTTGTAACGGTTTTGGGAGTTAGGTGTTAGGGAAGGGCAGATATGAGCTCTACCAAAGGGGCCTAGGTTTAATGACACAAAATAATAATAATGTTTACTGAGCACTTGTAATGTAGGCATTATAAAAGTGTGCTTTGAAATTATTTAATTTGCACATGACGTTTTCTCTAAATATCTTTCCTCTCTATATCGCTGGGGAATTCCTACCATTCAGAATCATTCAAGTATTCCTCTAGGTTTACTTCCTCTAGTTCTTAAGCTTGGCTGCACCTTGGAATCACCTGGGGAAGAGGTAGGGGAAGGAGGGGAGGAGAGGTACTATTAACAAACTGTTGACACTTGAGTCCTACCCTGGCGCTTCTGATTTCAGTAGTCGGGGTACTGAGCACCAAGTTTTCACAACTCCCCTGGTGATTCTACTACGCAGCCAGGGATGAGACTTAACGGGTCTAGGAAAACGAAAGTGATCCAGTTAGGTAATTCTTCTCTTTCCCTCCTGCGCCCCGTGCAAACTTCTCTGATTATGCCTATCACACTGTATCTTAATTTCAGAGCATATACTCATCTCCCTAATTAGACTTTGAGCGTCTCCAGCCAGCCACCTCTGAATTTCTGGAGCCTCCTACGGAGCCTGGGACTTCGTGGAGATTGGAAAGTGCTGAGCAGAAGGGTAAAATGTCATCAACAAACAAAAGGCTGGGGTCCTGCAGATGCCAGGTGCTGCGTGCTCAGCCGGGTCTGGAACCTAGAGAACAGGCTGACTAAGCCTGGTAGCAAGGGCTCACAGTCGCGGCTTGAGTGCGTGCCTGGAAGGCAGTGTACGGTGGCCACATTGCCCGAGCCTCACTTGCACCAATGGCCTCACATATTTGAAGTTTGATTCCCCTTTATTTTCCTGGAGTTGGTATACTTTTTTTTTTTTTTTAATTTTATCTAGGTTCCACACCCAGTGTGGGGATTGAACTTAAAACCCTCAAGAGTTGCATTCTCTACTGACTAAGCCAGCCAGGTGCCCCAGTTTGGTATAACTTTCTTAAGTGAAAGAAGGCACTGAGCCCTTTTTATAGTGAATACTCTCAAGTTGCTCACAATTCATTCGTGTACAATAACCAATAAACCTGTTGTGTCATTGAAAAAAAAAAAAAAAAAACTTGCTGCGGACTTCCAGGCAAAGGAGTTCCCAGGTGGCTGCGGACAGCAACCAGAAGGCCCGGGCTTGTAGCACGTGCAACGGCAGCGCGCAGGCGCAGACCTAAGCGCCACGCCGCGCGCTCTCGTCTACGCGCGTGTAAGCCCCGCCCCCAGGAGCGGAGCCAACCGGGCGCGGAGCCGCTCTAGGCCCCGCCCCCGCCCCGCCCCCCGGCGGCGGGAGTTCGCCGCTCCCACGTTCGGAGGCGGGCCCTGTCGCCGCGCTGCAGCTCGATTGGCCAGCCTCCCAGGGCTCGGTAACGGTCGCGGGGGCGGGGCCAGGAGGGGCTGAGAGGGGCCGGGTCGGGCGCGCTGCTGAGGGGAGGCCGCGGCTGAGGAAGGTGAGTGGGGCTGTCCTTGGGCAGCGGCCTCGCCTGGTCCCGGGGACCGGCTGACCGGCCCTTATCCGGGCGCCCGGCGAGGAGGCCAGTTAAGACAATCTCAGGATAAGGGTCGCGGTGTCCCTGGCAAACCTGGTTCGAGTCCTGGCTCGCTCCGCGGGCCTTCACGTCTCGGCGCCCCCGTTTCTTCCTTGGTGGCCTGCAGCTGGTAATTCTCGCCTTACGCGGTGGTCGAGAAGGTTAAAGTGTAAAGGCTCAGAATGATCCCCGGCGGCTGTGTCCTAGGTGATTCCTCCGTCTGCAGAGCGTCAAGGTGTTTGAGACGGTTGCTTGGCCGGAGATGACTCGGGTGAAAAAGGGGGATGGATGCGCGAGGGAGCAGGCGAGTAGCCTTTTTCAACGGTTCATTAGGCTCATTCCAGGCTCGGAGGACCGCTGACTTGCTGCGGAGTCCAAATGGATTCTTTTTTTTTTTTTTTTTAAGATTTTATTTATTCATGAGAGACACACACGCAGACAGGCAGAGGGAGAAGCAGGCTCCAGGCAGGAAGCCCGATGCGGGACTCGATCCCGGGTCTCCGGGATCACACCCTGAGCCAAAGGCAGCCGCTCAACCGCTGAGCCGCCCAGGCGTCCCTCTAAATCGATTCTGTGAAGAAAATCGGTGAGGTGGAAATGTCAGAAGGCTGAGATCGGGAACCTAGAGACCTCACAGAAAGGGTTTCTCCCACCACTTATTTTCTCACCATAATGATAGTAAACACTGTGCAGGTGTCACCCCTATTGATTCCAGTCCTCTGCGTGAGTCTGTTTTTGCTTTCTGTATTGTCAAGTAGACCCCGGCCTCCCCCCCCCCCCCCCCCCCCCCCGCCACAGCTTGAGGAACAGGTGGGCTGACTGGGGGGTGGGAAGCGGGGGGTGGGGTTTGTCCAACAGCTTCTGCCTCAAAGGGGGAGAGGCCTGTTCTGGTCCTTTGTGTACCCTCCCCTGGGGCAGAATGATCTGGTGGAATTGACATCCAATCCTAACTCCCATTTCCTTATTTGCTGTAGGTTCACTTCCCCTTAAGAAAATCGAGCGGCATGCTGGCATGTCTTTGGGGTAGAGCTTTTGTTATTTATTTATTAGAGAGCAGAGATTTTGAAAGCATTGCATGTTCTATTTATTGCAGTAATGTGAGATATATGCTTTTCAGATAGCTAATTACAGATTTTGATGTAACTCGATGGAGAAAAAAATCTGTTATAGGCCATGTTTTTTTTTTTTTTTAAGATTTTTATTTATTCATTCATGAGAAACACAGAGATGTGTGAGAGAGAGGCAGAGACACAGGCAGAGGGAGAAGCAGGCTCCATGCAGGGAGCCCAATGTGGGACTTGATCCCGGGTCTCCAGGATCACGCCCTGGGGGGAATGCAGGGGCCAAACCGCTGAGCCACCCAGGGATCCCCTAGGCCATGGTTTATTATTTCCAGCGTTGCCCCCCAAAAGTGGTGAAAAATAATTACATTTTATCGGATGGTGCTTGTTCCTGGGGCTTCAGACCTATGAAGGGTAAGTTACCAGAGGACTCTTGGAAACCTGGACAGTGCCAGGTTTGCTTCTCTGCATCTGGCTTTTGATGCCATGTACAAACCAACTTTTATCCTGGAACCCCTATTCTCACAATCTCGCTTTACGTGTGTTATGGCACTGATTAAACTGATAAAGCTTCTGTTTTGGCCTTGGGAAGCATTTGGTCTCTACCTGTGACTCAAGTTCCCCCGTCCGTGTCCTGTCACAGTTTATAGTTGGGGGAAAGGCTGGTGCGCACTATCAGCACATTGATTTCACAGCATGGACCTCTGAAAAGGAAGGCTTGGTCGTAGGTGGAGTTGAGATAGTTTTTCTTCCTGCCTTTGCAGGCTGAGAGTGCTTCATTTTAGTACCCTTGCAAACAAGCATATCCTACCTTTGTAGCCAGAAGTCAGGATTGATGATAGGTGATGATAGATTTGGACTCCCAGCTAAATACCTTAACAAAGCAGGGAGAGGAAAGACGAGAAGGGAGAAGACACATGGCGATGAGCCTTGGAAGTCCATCAGCGGTTATTCCAGTTGTTTCCTACTTCAGTTTAATGGTTATTGGTACCATAGATGCCTGCTCTGGGAATAACACAAGACCATTCTTAGTAGGAGGTTGAACATTTTAAAATTTTCTTTCTCTTTTTGAAATCTAGATGAAGATCCAGTTTCGGACGTGAGACTCACTGGGTGATCATTTCATTGAGATCAACCTGAATGACCAGGTGAAAAGTGCAAGAGGAATGTGCTATGACTGAGGTATGTCTAATGTGGCCTATAACTCTCTGGATGTTGGGAGACCATGGAAAAGACTTATTATTTACTGAATACTGTAATAGATACACGGTATATGTATTTCCTTCTGATCTGATAATCCTATCAGGTAGATATTTTAAACTCCGGTAAAGAAACTGAAGCCTAGAGAAATTAAATAACTGTATTGACTTACATAGCTGGCACCAACTGTAATCACCAACTCTGTCCTGCTATGAGCCAGGCACTGTTCTATTTTCTTTCTATATTAACTCCTAATCTCCGTAACAACCCTATGAGCTAAGTACTTCTACTCTCCTCATGATAATGAGGTCAAGGCACAGATCATTAGTACTTTTCTGGCTGCGTAGCAGAATCCACAATTTGAATCCAGAAGTGTGGGTACAGAGCCATACCAGCTTTCTTTTGGTTAGTATTTTCATTACTTTTGTTTTTATTGTCATTTAATAAAATTTTAATTGTAAAATGAATTTTTATTATGAAGTCAAACAGAAAAGAACACATGTAGCAAATGTGTGGCTTAATAAACTGTTAAAATGGTACCACTCAGGGTGTAGAACCATGCTCACCCTGCCAGAACCCCTCCGTTGCTCCATCTGAGTCACAATTACTTCTGTACTCCCATTAGTAGCCATTCTTCTGACTTCTATAGTAATTGCTTCCTTGTGTTTAAGAGGGTTTTTTTTCATAAATGTATATTTCTAGATACTATAGTGTGGCCTTGCCAATTAAAAATTTTTGGGCTTTTTAAAAGATTTTAGTGAGTGTGGAGAAGGGCAGAGGGGAGGGAAGAGAAAGAATCTCAGGCCGACTCCCAGCTGAGCATGGAGCCCCATGCGACAACCCTGTGATCATGTGACCTGAGCCAAAACCAAGAGTCGGATGCTTAACCACCTGAGCCACCCAGGTGCCCCTTAAAAACTCTTTTTAATATCTGCAGGTTTTTGGGGTGCCTGGATGGTGCAATCAGTTGAGTGTACTGGTTCTTGAGAACATAGGAGATGATATTCTCAAGAATTAATAGTTACTCCTTTGTTTTATCTCATATTTACATACACAACAGTATCAGAATTATTGATATCATCACTAATATGATTACTGAAAACATTAAACCTTTTGTTTTTTGCTTATGTTCTTATTCTTTTTAAAAATAATGTATGATATCTACATTGTCAGAACACGCAGTTATTACATATTCTGCTTTTCCTCTTTTAGTCTTTATTTATTCTTAGTTCTACAAGTATATTTAATGCTCATCACCAGCATTTATGTTGATCTTTGAGAGAGAGAAGGGACTTGGGGCTTCATCCTAGGACCTTGGAATCATGACTTGAGCCGAAGGCAGATGCTTAACAGTCGGAGCCACCCAGGTGCTCCTGTGTTGATGTTAAAGGCATCGTTTTGGTTACCTGATGCTCCTTTATTAGATTCCTTAGGAAGAAATGTTCCCTGAGTTTATGTGGATGAAAGTTTGTGCTCTTTATACATGAAAGTCAGTTTTGCTGTTATAAAATCTTTGACTCACACTTCTTTTCCTTGAATATCTTAAATATACTACTCTTATTCTTTTGGTATAAAGCATTGATATCAAAGAGAGATGATAATCTAATTTTTCTTCCCCTGATAAGTTGTTCTTTTTTCTAGATGACCAAGTATTTTTTCTTTGAAGTCTAGTAATTTTATTAGGGTGGGTTAGTGTTCTCAAGTATGTGATACACTCTTTCCATATGTAATTTCAAATATACATATATTTTCCTTTCAGGAAAGCTTTATTTTTTTAAATTGCTTTATTGAGATATATGTGATATACAATAAGCTTCACATATTTAAGGTGTGCTACTTGATAAGTTTTGACATATATATACACCTGTGAAACCATCACACAATCAAGATTGTGCATATATCCCTCACCCCAAAAATTCTTCTGTTCCCCTTTGTGGTCCATCTTTCCAGCCTCTCATTCCCCTAGCCACTACTGATTTACTTTTTGTGACTGTAGATTGGATTAGTTTTTGTTTTCTAGAATTTTATATAAATGAAGTCATCCAGTATGTAAATCTTCATCTGGCTTCTTTTACTTAGCATAAGTGTTTTCAGGTTCATCAGTGTCGTTGCATATATCAATAGTTTATTCCTTTTTTTTAGAAGTTTATTCCTTTTTATCACTGAGAAGTATTCCATTGTGTCCCTATACCAGTTTGTGTGTCTGTTTAGCTTTTGATGGACATTTGAGTTGTTTCCAGTTCCTGGCGATTTTACAAATCTCTTAAGAATTTTTATGTACAAGTCTGTGTGGTCTTATGCTTTCATTTTTCTTAAGTAAATATCTAGGAATGGAATAGCTGGGTCTTAGTATATTTAACCTTTTAAAAACCTACCAAAGTGTTTTCCAAAGTGATTGTCCTATTTTACATGGCCATCAGCTGTGTATTAAAGTTCCAGTTTCTTCATAGCCTTGTAAACACTTAGTATAGTCAGTCTTAGCCTGACTTAGCATTTAAATAGATGTATTGTGGTTTTTTTTTTTTTAATTCCAGAGTAGTTAACATACAGTGTTATCTTAGTTTCAGGTGTGCAATATAGTGATTCAGCAGTTCCACGTATTACTCAGTGCTTATCAAGATAAGTGAACTTTTAATCCCCTTCACCTATTTCACTTATCCCCATACCCACCTCCCCACCTCCCCGCTCTGGGAACCGTCTGTTCCCAGAGTCCATTTTTTTGGCTTGTCTTTCTTTCCTTTCTTTTTTTTCCTTTGCGTTATTTTGTTTCTTAAATTCTACATGAGTAAAAACATATGGTATTTGTATTTCTCTGAATGACTTATTTCACTTAGCATTATACCCACTAGGTTCATCCATATTGTCTTATGGCCAAATAATACTCCATTGTGTATAATTGCATCTTCTTTTTCCATTCATCTTTCAGTGAACACTTGGGCGTCTTTTATAGTTTGGCTATTGTAAATAATACTACTGTAAATATAAGGGTGCATATATCCCTTTGAATTAATGTTTTCACATTTTTTGGATAAATACCCAGTAGCATGATTATTGGATCATAAGGTAGTTCTATTTTTAATTTTTTGAGGGACCTCCATGCTGTCTTACACGATGGCTGTACCAGTTTGTATTCCACCAGCCATGCACAAGGGTTCTGTTTTCTCCACATCGTCCATATTTGTTTGAGTTTTTTGCTTTAGCCATTCTGGGAGTTTTGAGTTAGTATCGCATTGTGGTTTTGGTTTGCATTTCCCTGATAATGAATGATATTGAGCATGTTTTCATGTGCCTGTTGGCCATCTGTATGTCATCTTTGGAGAAATGTGTGTTCATGTCCTCTGCCCATTTTTAATTGGATTATTATTTTTTTTCAGTATCGAGTTATATAAATTCTTCATGTGTTTTGGATACTAACCCTTTATCAGATATGTCATTTGCAAATATCTTCTCCCATTTAGTAGGTTGCCTTTTCGTTTGGTTGGTTGTTTCCTTTGCTGTACAAAAGCTTTTTATTTTGATATTGTCCCAATAGTATAGTTTTGCTTTTATTTTCCTTGCCTCAGGAGACATGTCTAGAAAGATAGCACTACCATCAATGTCAGAGAAACTACTGCCTGTGCTCTCTTCTAGAATTTTTTTTTTAAAGATTGTATTTATTTATTCATGAGAGACAGAGGGGTGGGGGTGTACAGAGGTACAGACATAGGCAGAGGGAGAAGCAGGCTTCATGCAGGGAGACTGACGTGGGACTTGATCCCGGGTCTCCAGGACCACACCTTGGGCTGAAGGCAGCTCTAAACTGCTGAGCCACCTGGGCTGCCCCTCTTCTAGGATTTTTATGGCTTCAGATCTCACATTTAGGACCTTAATTCATTTTTTTAAATTGTGTGTATGTATGTATGTATGTATGTGTTTATTTATTTGACAGAGTATATATCTATTTTTGCCATTACCATACTGTTTTGTTTACTACAGTTTTGTAATATAACTTGAAGTATGGAATTGTGATACTTTCAGTTTTGTTTTTTTCTTTTTGAAGATTGCTTTAGCTATTTCAGGTCTTTTGTGGTTCCTTACAAATTTTAAGATTGTTCTAGTTTTTTGAAAAATGCTGTTTATTTTTTGTTAGAGATTGCATTAAATGTGTAGATTGCTTTAGGTAGCATAGACATTACAACAATATTTGGTCTTCTGTGAGCATTGAATGTCTTTCCATTTCTTTGTTATATTAATTTCTTTAATCGCATTTTACAGTTTTCAGAGTACAGGTCTTTCACCTCCTGGTTGTTTATTTCTAGATATTTTGTTATTTTGGGTTCAATTGTAAGTGGGGTTGTTTTCTTTTTAGAGATGTATTTATTTATTTGCAAAAGAGAGAGAGCGCAGGTGCACACACACAGTGTGGGGAGAGGGAGAGAGAGAATCTTAGATAGACTCCCAGCTGAGTAGAGCCAGAAACAGGGCTCCATCTCACAACCGTGAGATCATGACTTGAGCTGAAATCAAGAGTTGAATCCTTTACTGACTGAGCCACCCAGGCACACTGGGATTATTTATTTCTCTTTCTGCTGCTTCATTATTAGTGTATAGAAATACAACAGATTTCTGTATCCTGCGACTACTAAATTCATTCATTCTAGTAGTTTGTTGGCAGATCTTTAGGGTTTTCCATAGATATGTCATCTGCAAATAGTAAAAGTTTTACTTCTTCCTTAGCATTTTGGATGCTTTTAATTTCTTTTTGTTGTCTGAATGCTGTGGCTAGGACTTCCAGTACTATGGTGGATGAAAATGGTGAGAGTGGACATCCTGGTCTTGTTCTGATCTCAGAGGAAAAGCTCTCAGTTTTTCCCCATTGAGTATTATATTAGCTATGGATTTTTCATATATGGCCTTTATTATGTTGAAGTATTTTCCCTCTAAACCTAGTTAGTTGATGGTTTTTTAAATCATGAAAGGATGTTGTACTTTGTGTCAAATGC